TAATTGTGTACAACTTCATTGCATTTGGAGTTTACCGTAAAGGCAAAGATAAGTTGGTTTGTCAGGGTTTTTTTGTTTTTTTTAAGGCTGGGGTGGAGAGGGAAGCCTCCTGCCAGCAATTAAGTATTTTCCCTAGCGTGTTCTCAACATTCAGTTCAACTGTGCTGAAGAATAAATGAACTCCTAGGGGAAATTTGACCCTTACTATGACCTCCTCAGGCTTGACCCTGAAACAACAACATATCCGAAACACTACAATTTTGGTCACAGGCAGAAGCCTTCAGAGAAATTACAGCTACATTGAGCCGCTTTGTTTATATTGCCAGGGCATGTTTTGTTGACTCAGTTTTTCCAGAGCAAGGATCCTTCAAGGCGACTGTTAGAATTCCTTTGCTTCCTGTAATTCCAGAGCAGCACAAGAGGGAACAGAGAAAAGAGAAGCAAAATTCCACGGTGGTTAACATAGCTGCAAATTAAGGCGGAACCAGAGATAAGATTTCACAATACTGATTCTGAATTCAAAACGTCACTGTTTGTTTGTTTGTTTGTTTGTGATAGCCACACATTCAGAAATATTTACTTAGTGGCCTTCAGTCCTTTATACATGCTTAGCACCTTGTGTTGTAAAGGCAAAGAAAGAGAAGTCACAGTACTTACTGTCAGGTACATTTATGAAAAAGAAACAGGACCTACACAGGCATGGTTAAATAGCTTTATTTTTAAATTAATATTTTCTGATCCAAATTCTCTTCCTCTCACCTCTTCCCTCAGCTGAGAATGCAAGATAAAACAATACCTCTGTTACAAAAATGTACAAGACAATTTCCTATATTGACCATGTCCAGATATTTGTGTGTTTACATACATACATACATACATATGGAGGGAGGGAGGGGGAGAGAGAGAGAGAGTGTGTACTCTGAATTAATCACTTCTCTATCAAGAGGCAAGTGTTTAGTCTTGAGTATCATGAAATTGTCATTAGTCATTGTGCTAATTAGAGTTCCTTAATCTTTCAAAGTTGTTTGTGTTTATATTATTGCTGTTATTTATATTATTGCTTTATGTTATTGTTGTATAAATTGTCATAGCTCTGGTTTACCTGACTCTGCATCAGTTTATATGAGTCATTTAAGGTTTCTTTGAAACCAACCCTTTTCATCATTTCTTACAACACAATCTATCATTTATGTATATCATAACTCATTTAGCCCTTTACCAATTAATGCACACCACCTCAGTTTCCACTTCTGTGCTACCACAAAAAGAGTTATTATAAATATTGTTGTATATATGAATCCTTTTCCCCTTTCTTTGATCTGCTTGGCATATAGACCTAATGTTGACATCACTGGGTCAAAGAGTATGTATGCATGATTTAATAGCTTTTGGGGGCTTAATTCCAACTCGCTTCCTAGTCCACAACTCAACCAGCAGTGCATTAATGTACCTGTTTTCCCACAGCATTTGTCACTCTTTTTTTGTCAACTTTGCCAATCTGATGGGTATGAGATGGAACCTCAAAGTTGTCTTAATTGACATTTCTCTAATTGTTAGTGACTTAAGGCATTTTTAAATATGGTTATCAATAGGTTGAATATTTTCTTCTGAAAACTGTTTGTTTGTATCCTTTGACCATTTATCAATTAGGGAACAGAATTAAATAACTTTAAACAACAGTGTAAGATGAGGGCATAGGGGATGTGCCTTCAAGCCAGAAAGACCTGGAATCAAATCCTGCCTCAGAGACTTATTAGTCTCTGTCAAGCAATGATGTCAAGCAATTCACTTGACCTCTCTGCCTCAGCTTTCTTAGCTGTAAAATGAACAGCCTCTGAGTTCCCTTCCCTCTCTAAATCCATGATCGTATGAAGTAAAACTTATGTTGAGTGTTAAGGGATGGATAAGATTTATTAGACTAAAAAAAAATCACTTTATCTGTGGTACAATGGAAAGAACACTGGCTCAGGAATCAGAGCACCTGGGTTCAAGCCATCGCCTTTGATGTTTACTACCTGTGTGACCTGGGACAAGTCCCTTAACCTCCCTGGGCCTTGGTCTTCATCTCTGAAGATAAAGGGTTGGACCAAATGGTCTCGGAAGTCCCCTTCAGCTCTAGATCAGTGACTTTATGACCTTTTTTTCAAAGTAGAACCTAAAAGCAAAGCTTTCAAAAATCTAGCAGTCTTCAAGTTCTAATATTTTAGAAAAGGAAAGGAAAATGATTAAAAATGTAGCTTCTATCTTTCTACTTCTTCCTTTTCCTCTTCTGCCTGCTACTATTCTTTTGTTGTTGTCACTGTTCTTCTTCCTCATATTCTTCTTCTGTTTCTTCATGTTCTGGTTGTTGTTATTTTTCTCCATCCTCCTCCTCCTTCCTCACAAATTGCTCTGTGCCTATCTAATCCCAGTTTTGTACTCTTGACATCACACCAATTTCCAGAGCCAGAGCTGGCACAGGACATCCAGGTCTTTGTCCTCTCCTACAACAGAGCAGTCAGCCCACCTCACTAGGATCCCACTGTCATTTTGCCTCTCCCTAGGACTCACCTCCCCCCTACGGTAGATCTCCCCTGACTTGCTACCTGGCTTGGAGACGTGTGTCCTGAGTGACACAGGATACCCAGGATCACCTGGAAGGAGAAGGTACAGCAGTAACAAAGGCAGCATGTTTTAGATGCCCCCTTTTCCTCTCATGATAAGTTCAAGACTAGTCCTCTTGAGTTCTAGCCTTCTCTATTTTTCCTTCCCTTATTTTTCATTTTAAATGTTTTATTGTTGGAAAGACTATATCAACTCTTCTTTCTTACCCTATGGAAAGGGTCAGACAGCCTCTTGGCATACTTCACTGTCAGTCCTCTGAAGTTATGATTGATCAGTGCATTAATTAGAACTCTGAAATCTTTTTGTGTTGTTTTCCTGTACCTCCATTTCCACTATCCCCTCTGAAACTCTTCTCTGTTGTTATTCAACTCTTCGTCCCCCTAAATCTTTTTCTATCACCTTCCTCCCAAATTCTGATGCTCAGTGAAATCAGCTTTTTTCTTAAGACACCTCATCTATTGGCACCATCTCAAAGCTTCCTGCTTTTCTCTCTGTCTCTGTCTGTCTCTCTCTGTCTCTCTGTCTTCCTCTCTCTGTCTCTCTCGTTCTCTCTGCCTCTCTCTGTCTCTGTCTTTCTCTGTCTCTCTGTCTCTGTCTGTCTGTCTTTATCTTCCTCTCTCTCCAACTCTGTCTCTCTCTCTGTCTCTCTTTCTCTCTGTCTCTCTGTCTGCCTCTCTCTATCTCTGTCTCTGTCTGTCTCTGTCTCTCTCTCTGTGTCTGCCTCTCTGTCTGTCTCTGTCTCTCCATCTCTGTCTCTCTGTCTCTCTGTTTCTCTCTGTCTGCCTCTCTGTCTGTCTCTTTCTCTCTCTCTCTCTCTTTCAGAAAACGCCAGGAGGAGGAGCTGTAACACCACTTGCTTCCTACTGGGATTTTAGACCCTGCCTGAGCCACCATTACTCGTCAACCACCTCCTCTCCACTTCTAAAATTCACTCTATCCTGTTTGGATTTATGTTGTTATCATCTGTGAAACGTCTCTCCTTCTTCTTCAGTAACTCCAACTCTCGTAATCTTTTTCTCCACCCCAACTTCTGCCCCTTCTAACACCCTGACCTTACAGGTCCTGAATCTTCTCAACAGCTCTGACTTCTGTCTGCAGTCTTCCCCAGCCAAGCACAGGAGTGGTCATACCTTAAACTTCTCCCCCAAAGTGATTTCGCCCAGGTACTTGAATCCCTAGTTATGATTATAATAATTATAAAACTACCCCTGAACATACAGCAGGCGGTGATACAGTGAGTTAGCTCTAGTGAGAAGCAAATGAAATGGAAGTAGCATTTGTATAGCACCTATTATGTGCCAGGGACTGTGCTAAGTGCTTTATAAAAGTTATCTTATTTGATTTCACAACAATCCTGTGAAGGAGATGCTGTTAATATCCCCATTCCTCAGTTGAGGAAACTGAGGCAAACAGAAGTAAAGTGACTTGCTCAGGGTACCATTCCATGGCTAGTAAGTGTCTGAGGTCAAACTTGAACTCAGGTTTTCTTAACTCCACTCTCAAGGTGGCAGGTTCCCCACCCCTGACCTAAATAATTCAGAACACTTGCCCAAACAGAACAGACAAACAAACATTTAAAATCAAGTGGGGGCAGCTAAGTGGCACAGTGGATAGAACACCGGCCCTGAAGTCAGGAGGACATGAGTTCAAATGTGGCTCAGACCAAACACTTGATACTTACTAGCTGTGTGGCCCTGGGCAAGTCACTTAACCCCAATTGCCTAAAAAAAAAAAAAAGGATTAGGTAGGTGGTCCAGGGTCAATTTTAAGAGATCTATGCAAGGTGCAGTGAAGCAGAGGCCTAGAGAGATTATTAAACCCAGAGGCCTGGGCCATTCAGGAAAACATGGAGAAAAGCATGATTAGAGCTATCTAGAGGATGCAGACAAGCAGGAGGTCACAGGGACTCAAGTACAGAAGAATGGTTCAGCCTCATACAAAGAAAAAGATAGGGAATGGAATTGAGGCCAAGCAAGTAAATCGTTATAACCAAGGTTTGCCCACTGGTTCTAAGGTGGGGGATTTTTGTCTTTAAGAAGGTTTGGGGACAGAAAAAGACTAGCAGGCCCATGGTTCTTCCCAGAGTAAGGCAGGATTCTTCAGACTGTTGTCATTGCTGCAGATCTTATGAATTTTGTGGCTCCCTTCCAGTACTTACCTTCCCTTTTATATTAAGCTGGTGGCATTGAATTCTTTTTTTTAAGCTTACAATAAAATGAACTCCTAATCTAATTTGAAAACAAGGCTTTAATCCCAATCAAAAAATTTATATTGGGCACACAGTCTGAAAAGAAAAATTCTTTTTTCAGCTTGCTATTCTTCAAATAATAGCAAATCCTAGGAAAATTGATTAATTTTTTTCTATAGCCCTTAACACATACACGTTCCTGTTTTAGTTATGCGAAATCAAGGCAGTCTAAGGCTGATCCTCAACAGCAAACTCTGGGCACAAATGGAGATACAAAGAGCAAGTCTCAAAAATCTACGCATCACTGCCACAGATTTAGATGACTGGTCCATCAAAATATTTTTAATTCAGGTAAGACATTTGAGGGTTTTTTGTTTGTCTTAAGAAATGTAATTATCTTATGGTATATATCTAGCCCACTGGAGTGAGCAAGTGACTTGATTTTTTTTTTACAGTAACTGTATGAGAGTCAGCATTATAGCATTAGCGTAGGAGAGAGAATAAATGAATGAATGAAATCAGTTATTTATCATGTTCACTATATGCTAAACACTGGGAATATAGAAGTACAAAAATTAGCCCTTGAATTCAAAGAGCTGACATTCTAATGGGAAATAATCCATTTTAGGGAAGTGGAGGCAAGGTATGGAGTTATGGTCTGAAAAGTCTCCAAAATGGTGAGGTGAACATTAATGCAGTGGATTGACATGTTGTTCAAGGGGGTTGTTCAAGGTTGTGTTGATTTTGTTATAGTTTTCAGAGCAAAAAGTTGGAAGGCAGAGGGCGATGGAAAAATAGCAAGGGTGAAGAAAAGTCTTCACCTTACAGGGTTAAGTGGCTTAGCCTATGTCAGGCATGATCTCTGCCAGGTGCACTTTGGAAGGTAGAACAGCAGTAAATGGTAGGGCAGAAATGGCCAGAGTGAAAGAATAAACTGGCTTTAGAGTCAGGAAGGAAGACCTGGGTTCAAGACCTGCTTTTGACCATTGTGTGACACTGAGATCATCATGACTACTCAGTAGCCTTAATCTACTCTAAGACTTTAAAATTCAGAATAAGGTGCCCACCTGCTTTGATAAAAGGAATCTTTTCACACTCATTCCTGTGTATCAGTGAAATCATAGTTCTGGTATCTCTGCTCCAGCCCCAGCCCCAAAGCTATTACTAAAATTTCAGATCACTCTTTATATTTTTAAAATACACGATAGATCTGTGCTGTCCAAACACTGACATGGAATTTATTATAATATTACAGCTGTCAATCATTTGCTAGCACTCTTTGCCTAGGATATTGGTAACTATTGAGGAATTAATATTTAGATCTTTCACATTCTTGTCAAGTTATTTGACTAATGAAGTCAGCAGCTGAACCAATCTCAATTTCTTAAATACACATCCTCTCCCCTCCCGCCAACACACAACACACGAATTTAAGAAAAAAAAAAGCAGGCTACTTGTTCAAAATCTTGCCTCGTGAAAACCTATCAAGATCTTCTCACATACATTTTAAGTATTGGTTTTGATATTATTGATATTATTCAGTATTTAGTATTGGTAGGAGAGCATTATTGATATTTTAGTTTCGGCCACTTTTCCCCCAAATGTTTTATTTGTTGTTATTGGCATCACTGGCATAGTGAGGAGGACCATGGACTTGGATCTGGACCAGGTCAGGACCAGGTCAGGAGATTTGGATTCCAAACCTGGCCATGCCAAGTTACCAGTGTCACATTTTGGTCAGATCATTTAATATCTGATTCATTTTCTGCATTTGAAGAAAATGGGAGTTACACTAAGTGAGTGCTCTAAGGTCGATTCTAACTCATACCTTAGCAGTGTACTTACACCTTAACTGAAAGAATTAAGGGTACTATGAGTCCATCCAAAAATCACTGTTACATACTTATTTTTAAAAAATTAATATTTTATTTCCCCCCTAATTACATGCAAAAACAATTTTAATATTCTTTTTTAAAATTTTGAGTTCCAAATTCCCCCCATTGAGAAGGCAAGCAATGTAACATATGTTACACATATGTAGTAATGCAAAACACATTTCCATGTTATATATTTATTGAAGGAGAATCAACATTTCCCCTTCATTCCTCCACTGCTCTTCATGTCCTTATCCTTTCTCCCCTCCTTCCATTCAATCTCAAAGGAACAGCTCTGCCATAGTTAACATTGTCATTCTCTCTCTCTCTCTCTCTCTCTCTCTTTCTCTCTCTCTCTCTCAGTCTCTCACACACACACACACATACACACACACACACACACACACACCCTAATTTTTGTGCCATCCTGTATTCCTTGTGATTTTGCTCTATCAACCATCCCCTCTTTTTCCTGTTCCTTCAATTTCTCCCCCTCTAGAGGCTTCTTCCTCTAACATGCTCAAGTTGTATCAATCTTACAAAAACTTTCCTTTGGCCTTCTAGCCTCTCAAACTGTTATTCTCTTTACTCTTCATTGCAAATATATGTTTTAATTTGTCTGTACTTGCTGCCTACACTTCCACAACACCTTCATGACTTCATTTGGATTTTTCTTAGCAAAGATACCAGAGTGGTTTGCCATTTCCTTTTCCAGCTCATTTTACAGATGAGGAAACTGAGGCAAACAGGGTTAAGTGACTTGCCCAGGGTGACGCAGCTAGTAAGTGTCTGAGGCTGGATTTGAACTTAGGAAGATGAATCTTCCTGAGAAGACCCATATATAATCAGGGCAGCTAGGTGGCATAGTGGATAGAGCACCAGCCCTGGAGTCAGGAAGACCTGAGTTCAAATGTGGCCTCAGACACTTGACATTAACTAGCTGTGGGACCCTGGGCAGGTCACTTAACCCCAATTGGCTGAAAGAAAGAAAGAAAGAAAGAAAGAAAGAAAGAAAGAAAGAAAGAAAGAAAGAAAGAAAGAAAGAAAGAAAGAAAGAAAGAAAGGAGTCCGTTATGAGAAAAGAAACTTGCTGCAAAGATTCCTCTCTGTCCCTTTCACCCCACCCCCACTTTTCTGCTTTTCTTCTCATTTTAGCTGCATTGGTCTTATTTGTACAAAAACATTAATTTTATGTAATCAAAATTATCCATTTTACTTTCTGTGAACTTCTCTATCTCTTTAGAGATAGAACTCTTCATCATGAGCATCGAGTTCATGTCATGAACTCTTTCCCTATCCATAGATCCAACAGACAATTTCTTCCATGTTCCATGTTGTCCTCTTATGATAAAGTTTTAAAGAGTTACATGCATCATCTCCCCATATAAGAATGAATGTGGACAGTTTGACCTTCACTAGTCACTTATGATTTATCACTCATTTTTAATGCTTCTCTTGAGACTCGTGTTCTAATGAAAAATTTTCTACTCGGCTCTGGTCTTTTCATTAATAATGCTAAAAAGTTCTCTTATTTCATTCAAGGTGCATGTTTTCCTCTGTAGGTTTATACTCAGTTTTGGTGGGTAGGTTTTTCTTGGTTGTAATTCCTAGACCCCTTGCCTTCTAGAATATTCTGTCCCATTATAGTGGTAGCTGCTAAATCTTCCATGATCCTTACTGTGGCTCCATGTGCTTGAATTCTTTCCTTCTGGCTACTTACAGTATTTTCCCTTACCTGGGAGCTCTGGAATTTGGCCATGATTTTCCTGGAAGTTTTCATTTTGGGGTTTGTTCAGATGATAACTACTGGATCCTTTCAATTTTTACTTTGCTCTCTGGTTCTAAGATATCTTGGAAGTTTTCTTTCAAGGTTTTTAAAATATAATATCTAGGCTCTTTTGTGTTTTTTTTTTTGTTCATGGCTTTTAGGTAATATGATGATTCTTAAATTATCTCTCCTCAATCTGTTTTCCAGGTCAGTTGTTTTTGCTATGAGATATTTCACATTTTATTCCATTTTTTCAGTCTTTTTGTTTATTATTTTTTCATGTCTCATGGAATCATTATTTTCCACTTAGCCAATTCTAATTTTCAAAGAGTTATTTTCTTAAGTAAAGTTTTGTGCTTCTTTCTACCAAGCTGTTGATTCCTTTTTCATGTCTTCCTTCCATAGCCCTCATTTCTTTTCCCATTTTTCCTCTACAATTCTCATTTGGTTTTAAATTTTTTTTTTGCTCTTTTTAAAATCATTTAAAAAATGCTTCTAAAATTCTTGTTTGGGCTTGTGTTCAACTTGAATTTTTCTTTGAGGGTAAATGAACTGGGTAGTAGGTGACAGAACTACCACATGGAACCCATTTTGGCCCAGTCCTAGTTCAGGGATCCCCGGAATCTCTTTCTGCTCTGGTGCTCTGTCTCAGCCCCATTTCTATCTTTAAGCACTGGAATTCTCTCCACTACTGCCACCATTGGCCATGACTGCAAACTTTTCTGTTGGTTTCCCCAAGCTACCCTAGGCTGGAAAAATGACTCACTGTAACTTTTTTTTTAACTTTCCCAATCAGAATTTGGTCTGGCACATTTTCTAGATCATTGTGGAGGAAGTGTGCTGGGCAAACTAGGCATAAATGCTTCCATTCAATTCTGCCATCTTGACTTTGCTCCAGGAAAATCATTTTGGCAGCTGTATCGACAGTGGTTTAAAATGGGGAGAGAGCTGAGGTAGAGACATCAATTGGAAGGTAATTGCAGTAGTACAAACAACAGGTGATGAGGACCTGAGCTAAAGTGGTAGATAAATGGAGAGAAGAGGACATATGAGAGAGATACTGTGAAGTTAGAAATTTGACAACTGACATTGCTAACTGGTTATCCTGTAGCATTTCAAACACAACACTATCAAAACTGACCTTTTCCTCCCTCTGAAGTGTTCTTCTTCTAATGTCTTTCTCTGTTGATGGCACTGAAAACTTTGAAAGTCAAACAATGTGCATTGATTAAGTGCCCCTCTCCCCTCCTTGAGAAAGCAAGCAATTTGATATTGATTGTATGTGTGAAGTTATGCAAAATATATTTTCCTGTTAGTCATGCTGCAAAAGAAAAAACTGACAAAAACAAGAAAAATTAAGTAAAGAAAAAAGTATGCTTCAGTCTGCACTTAGAGTTCATAATTTCTTTCTCTGGAGGCAGATAGCATTTTTCATCATAAGTCCTGAATTGTCTTGGATCATTATCTTAATCAGAGTAATAAATCTTTCACAACTGATCATTCTTACAATATTACTATTACTGTGTGCAATATTCTCCTGGTTCTGTTCACTTGACTTTGCATTAGTTCATATAAGTCTTTCCAGGTTTTTCTGAAATAATCCCCTTCTTCATTTCTTATAGCACAATAATATTCCATCACAATTATATACCACAATTTGTTAAACCATTCCCCAATTGATGGGCATGCCTTCAGTTTCCAATTCTTTGCCATTACAAAAAGAGCTACTATAAATATTTTTGTACAAAATAGGTCTTTCCCCCTTTTCTTTGATCTCTTTGGGACACAGACCTAGAAATGATATAGCTGGGTCAAAGGTAACATTTCATATCCATTACCTTTTGCCTGCACTATTTTGAAAATCTCCTAAATGGTTTCCCTTCCTCTAGTTCGGTCCTCTCCAATCTATCCTTCACATTAGTGCCAAAGTAATCTTCCCAGTTGTCAGGTCAGAGTATGTCACCACCCTGCCCAATGACCATCAACAGCTTCTTATTGTCTAGCATTACAAACAAGCAACATAGAATAAAATTTATAATGGAATACAGAGCCCTCTAAGATCTGGCTTCAACCTATCTTTCCAGATTTGTTTTAAACTAAACTTTGTACACTCTAATCCAGTCATCTCCAACATTTAGCCCTTTCCTGATCTCATACTATCCTTTCTTTATGCAGGTAGGCTCATAAGTGGAACTGTTCTGTATCTCTGCCTTTTGGAATCCTCTTCTATTAAGATCCTCATGAGGTGCCACTTCTTTTGTATGAAACTTTCACAGATTCTCCAAGCTAGAATTTACCCATTCCTAATCTCTTTTCCCTTTTGCTTTGACTTCTCCAAAGAACCTATCATATTCTGATTCATATTATAATTTTTTGTGTGCATGCTAATCAGTCATGTCATTTTGACAGCTTCATATCCATAGTACCTAATCCAGGTTCATTCCACAGAATAGGAAACATAAATATTTATCTAATTAAATTTAATTAAGATAGGCTTCTAAGGCTTAGAGATGTTCTGATTTACATCAATGATTACTAACTCTGATGAAATAAAAGATCTTTAGAAAGATTAAAAAAATACAGTATCAAACTGTGGCAAAAGAATTGAATTATACATTTTTAAATCTAGATTCTAGTCCAATTTCTGCCATTTAGTATGTAATCTGATAGTTTCCTCATCTTCAAAATGAGTGTAATATCTGCCATGCCCATATTATGATGATAGAATGAGATAATGCCTAGGTTTTTGTCAATTGGCCCATGGCCATATGCTACCCTGATTCCAGAGAGTAGTCTGTTTGAGATGTTTAGGGAAAAAGCAAAATTTTGCTTAATATAGCTAATTAACATGAGAGTAGAACCACAGAGCCTAACCACATGCCTGCAGTTGCCATTGTATTACTGCCTCCTATCTGGTATCATACTAACAGGTATTAATAGATTATTGATCATTATGAATATTAATTATTAATGCAGTGTTATTAATATCATATTAATTATTAATGTTATTAAATATATAAAAATTATGGTCTACGCATATGAATTTCTGATCATCGGGCCCACCATGGGGGAAAACAAACTTGATTTCCTCTGAAATAACGTATAGGAAAATGCTTTGAAAACCATAAAATATTATACAAATATAAAGTGATTATCATACTAATTTAAAAACAATACAGGATAGTGTTTCTGTATTGTTCCTGTAATGGAAAAGGACATAGAAATCTGTGGGAATGCCAGTAGTCAGGTTTTGTTTTAGAAAAAGGCAGTGTTTTGAGGGGATTCTAGGATGTCCAAGCAGAGTCCTGTGAAAACACAGGAAGCATTGCTATGCCCTTTGTCTACATGACCTGCTCCCCGAGTAATCTGTTTTCCAATCAAGTGGTTAGAGTATTGGAATTATTGAACTTGATTTGATGCCCTGCGTATTGGAATCTGAGATGTTTTAAAATGGCCAAAGAAAAATTTTAGTTGATTCCTGACAAAGTGGAAGAGCTCAGCTCCCCTCCAATGGGTGAGGACGTTGGAAAATTTTTTCTCTAACTCATCATGACCTAGAAACTAGTACTCTCATTAGTCACCAAAAGATTATGTTTTAAAATTGATTTAACAAATATTCTATTTTAAAATGTTTTTATTAATTTGTTTGCTTTCCCATCCTTTTAAAAAATATTCTTTTTACCTTTATGGTGGCAATTGACAGTGACAGTAAGTGTGTTTATACAGTCAAGAAATAACTTTCTTTTCCTCCACGAAAAAAGTCCTACAGCCATCTATAAAACTAAATTCTATACAGCTAATTCTAAATTCAAATAAAATGTCTTTAAAATCACTCAACTTTGCTTTCTCTATGTTATTGTATATGCATGTGCCATTACCTCCTTACAACTACAATAGAATGGAATTTAATTCAATGTGGGTTGTTTTTCAACGTTTGGAGCGGGGGATGTGATTATTATCTGCATACTCTACTAGATTTATGTTACATAGGCACTTTTCCTTCAGGGAACCCAAGCCAAGTAATCATATTATTAAGGAGGATGGAAAATTATTTAAAAAGGAACTCTTAGACATATGAGATATGTTTAAAAGTACTAGCCTTCTTAACAATTTCATTTTTTTTTTTTGTGCAGGCAAGTGCCAAAGATGTTGGATGTCTTTACGCAGCAATACATCACCGTCTTGTTGCACTAAGAACCTTTTATAAACAGGAACTGGATGTAAATGAAATTGAAACTGAGTCAGAAACAGTCATCCAATTATTAAGCTGTGATAGTTGTGATGAAGATGATGATATGCTTAAAGTCACCACAGATCGATCAGGTCAGTTGATTTTCACTCCCCTGTACCCTAAAATACAGTAACTGCTAGGATTTTTCCAAAGGCTAATCATATCTTGACATAGATATTATTGATACATGAATTATAGATTATAGTTTCTATTTTCAGGTAATTTTCCATTTTAAACTTTACATTGCCAAAAGTTTATTTCTTTATTTTTCCACCTTATTTCATACACACACACACACACACACACACACACACACAGCGCAGTATATGTGTGTATATATGGCAGAGGGAATGGATGGGGCCACTATTTAAGACTGGCCTGTATCTATGAAAATCCTATTTGTTTCCTTAAAAAAAAAAAACCTCAACCTAACTTTGTTTATAAGATTTGTGGTACATAAACCTAGATGCAATCACAATGAGGAACACCTGTACTTAAAAGCAGAAATCACTATTCATTTCTTCTTGTTGTTTAGTTATTTTTCAATCATGAAAGTAAACACTCTTTGTGACCCCTTTTGGAGTTTTCTTGGCAAAGATACTGGAGTGGTTTGCTGTTTCCTTCTCCAGTTCATTTTACAAATGAGGAACTGAAGCAAACAGGGTTAAGTGACTTGCCCAGGGTCACACAGCTAGAAAGCATCTAAGTTGAGATTTGAACTCAGGAAGAGGAATCTTCCTGACTCCTGGCCCAGCACTCTGTCCACTGTACCACCTAGCTGCCCTGTTTATTTCTAGGGACTGAAGAATATATCAATACTGAAAATAAGTAAATAACTAATAGACTTTTAGGTGAAATAATATAAATACTCTTAAGTGTTGAGTTTAGGAGTGTGAAATTAAAAGCAATAGCTATCACTTTGAAGGGTGAAATGAACAGTTCAATAACAATTTATAGAATAGTATCCCATAGGTGAAACTGTTAGGAGGACTTTCTGGCATTTCTAATAGTAAACACTTCAGACAGATCCAATTTTTTGTAACAACCAACTTTGGTGCTATTTAGGGATTGTGTAATTATCTTCTCAAATATTCAAATAGTGATCTCCTTGATTCAACAGTTCCCTCCAGTGATTCAGACTGCAAACCCATCCGTGCCTGCCCATCCCAGGTAGCTCTTCTCTAGGTACCAAAGTCTGCTGAAAATATTTACTCCCTTCCTTCCTTCATTGTGAGAGTGCCAGGAGAGCCCTCTGGCTATCTACCTATCATCTCTCTCTCCTGCCACATGTACTAATGAGTGTTCAGGTTTCAATTCTGTCATTTTGGATCAGAATTTTATTTTAACTATATATAATTCAAGAACTTAGCATAGAGCATGAGTGCAGACAGCATGACTTTGAGAAGTAAAGTTGAAATTATATCTTCTCTTTATTATACTTTTAGGGTGCCATGCCTTCTATTAATATTATTTTAAAAACCCTAGGGGCAAAAGAAAAAAGTATATGAACTCAGACTATAACTTACTTGTTTTAACCAAAGAACTAGTGGGTGATATTTCTCATCAAATTGTTTATATGTTTATGAAAACTGCATTCAATTCAATTCAGTTCAATAAACATTTGTTGAATTCATTTTACATCTACATACAATTTAATTTATATCAAGAGTAGTGATCTATTTTAAGGAATTTTCAGGTTAGGAAAGTTCAAAATATATTTAGATAAAGTTGTGTAAAAAACAAAGAGAAAAAAATCCAGTAAACATCCCATCTTGACAAAAAGGGTATTTTATATCCTAGTTCAACATTTCCAGAAGGCATGATACAGTGTCCCGAAAGTCTTGGTGCACTTTTAAGCTATGGTGGCTTAAAAAACGAACCCAGCTTGAATTAAATTCCTTTCTATAATGAGTAGTTGTAGGGAGGTAATGGCACATACACAGACATTAATTTTTAAAAGTAGTATAAAAGTAGTGTAAAAGTGTGTTAGGGTTAATAAGTTATCAATCAATTCCAAAAAAAATGATATTTCTCAATAATGAATCTAGCTACATAGTAAAAGAAAATATGAGAAAAGAAAAACCTGAGATAGGTGAAACAAACTCCAATATTTCTTTGGTAATTAATTATTTTCTCTAAAACAAACTGTTAATGTTCTCAGCATCTTTTTCAAGTCATGGTTGGTGAAGAAGAAAGTGACTATTTTATGAACTACTGAAAAAAATGTAATGGTTACCATAAGGTATTATACTGGGCATTTTTTAGTAGCTTTAAACTGTACCAAGGTTTTGGGAACATCCTGTATACAGATGCTTATTTTACAGTTCCATTCTCAGGTTTTCTCTTACTATGTTGTTGTTCTGTCATTTTCAGTCATGTCTGACTCTTCGTGACCCCATTTGGGGTTTTTCTTGGTAAAGAAACTGGAGTGGTTTGCCATTTCCTTCTCCAGGTCATTTTACAGATGAGGAAACTGAGGCAGAGAGGGTTAAGTAACTTGCCCAGGGTCACACAGCTAGTAAGTGTCTGAGGCAGGATTGAACTCAGGAAGATGAGTCTTCCAGGCTCCATACCTGGCACTCTATCCATTGTGCCATCTAGCTGCTGCAATTGAGATATATCTTTCTATGGAATTAAGATTGATAGCTTATTCATTTTAATCTGTTTTTGTATCCACTTTTTACAAAATCTGCCACTAGCCAGAGACAGTGTGGCATAGTGGACTGAGAGATGGATGAGAGACAGCAAGAAACCCTGGGTTCGATTTCAGTCTCTAGCGCATAGCTGTTGTGTGACCCTGGATAAGCCACCTAACATCTCAGTACCCTAGACAGCTTTTCATAACTAAAAATTACCAAAGAATTACTGACTTGGTTTATTATAGAGTTCCTCATAATGGTGAAATCACAGGTCCAGATTCTGCTTCACCAACCAAAAAAAAAAATAAATTCTGTCACTACCTGTTTTCAAGAAATTTGGTCCAGTTTTCTACAACCATTTTACTTCTGAGATACTTTCATATGTGGAATTATTTTTATTATCTGTAAGCAAAAAGGTTACTTTTTTTTTTACCCGTGAACATTTTTTAGATTCAAATTCAACTGCGCTAATGCTCCATTAGGGGCAGCTAGGTGGCACAGGGGATAGAGCACCGGCTCTGAAGTCAGGAGGACCTGAGTTCAAATTCGGCCTCTGACCACACACTTAATAGCTGTGTGACTCTGGGCAAGTCACTTAACCCCAATTGCCTAAAAAAAAGGAAAAAAAAAAGAAAATATTGTTTATGTTGTAATAACCACATATTTTATAATTATACTTCAGATCCTTCCAGATGGAACCACAGATCACCAGTTGCCTGCTCATGACAGCTACCTTTGGTCCTGATTACAGCTACAGAAAGACCATTGAAAATCCTCAACCATCCCAACTCACCTTCTAGTGAGGAAAATCCTATATATTCATTGAAAAGGTTTAAGGAAATTAGTTTTCAAGAGCATTAGAATTTGGTCTGCTTCAAACTTTCCCACTTATGGATTTTAATAATCATATTCCTACTGCTTTATATTTGGACTAATCTGAAGAAAAATTACCAGAATTTATGAAGTATCTCACAGGCTTCAAACGCATCATTTCCAGAGGCGTTATTTCAGAATATAACTGATGAGAATTATTCATCACATTGATGGATAGAACAATTAAAGCTATGAATTATTAGATTTAATAAATGTCTAATTCAAACATTTTTTTCTCCATCAGTGACCTTCCTTATATTACAGAAAATTCTGTCTTTCAAAAAATGGCACTTCGGACTAAACAAGATGGAAAAAAGAACGTGAGCCATTCATCTCCTGTAGATTTAAAGATACCACAAGTTCGAGGCATGGACCTTTCATGGGAGTCCCGCACTGGTGACCAGTATAGCTATGGTTCTTTAGTCATGGGTTCACAAACGGAGAGTGCGCTTAATAAAAAGTTAAGGGCTATTCTTCGAAAACAAAATAGAAGAAGTATACTGGATGCTGGACTGGATTCTCGGGGCTCAGATGCTGAGCAGTCTACCTCTGGACAGCCATATCCCACGTAGGATCAAGAAGGAGACCCCGGCTCCAAGCAGCCTCAGAAGAAAAGAGGGAGATATAGACAGTACAACAGTGAAATACTGGAGGAAGCAATCTTGGTGGTTAAGAGTGGAAAAATGAGTGTTTCCAAAGCTCAGAGTATTTATGGAATTCCCCACAGTACACTGGAGTACAAATGGATGACAATCGAGCAGCAGAAGAATTATCTATCCATGAAATAAATATTTCATAGACTTCAAGGATTGTTCCTTTAAAAATGCTATCGTAAGTCTCATCCAAGTCATAAAACAATTTTTACCTTGCTCTTTATTTTCCACTTAGATATATGAATTAATAAAATATTAAACTTGTGTGTTCACAGTAACAATGAGCTTTTTAAACAAAAATATTTAAATATATATCATAATAGTATCAAAGTCTCAAAAATGTTAACTGCTTTTCAGTTGTTATTCTCTAAGTTATTTCAATAAAGTTAAATTATTTGCCTTAGCATCATTTAAGGTATAATCATAAAATTATAATACTTTTATTTTAATACCTAAAAGAACTTATCCAAATGAGGCTTATCCTTCAAAGTCCTCATCTTGGGATTTATCCCAGTAATGCTACTATTTGCCTAAGATTTTTGTTTTGTTTTTAACTATTTTGGAATTAACTAAGGAATTGATTTATGAGCTAACCAAGACAGCAGTTTTATTACTTTGTAGTTATAATTTAAAAAACACAAACAAAAACAACAAACGTAAAACTAAATTGCTCAGTTTAAATATCAGATTTGATTTGGGTAACTTTTTGAAGTTTCTAAAAATTACCTCTACTCTCAAAGGATAGTTTTGCTACTATTAAAAATACATAAAAAGAATAGCTCTGAAAACAAGAGTTAAAAAAAGTTTTGAGCCAAAGTAGCATTGTAATGATTGTTGTATAGTGTTGCAGATTCATTACTTTGGGTGGCAGGGCACTTACTTGTATAGATGATGTGTTATTTTTGTATTTTAAATATAGTCACATTATCATATAGGCCAGGGGATTTTAATCTGGGTTCCTTGGTCTCTCATGTATAGGTTTCTGGGGATCTGTGACCTTGGATGGAAAATACATACACACACACACACACACACACACACACACACACACACACACACACACACATACATACATATATCTTTTTACTAATCTTTGGCTTCCTTATCCTATGTATTTATTTTGTACATTTAAACCATTATTCTGAGAAGGGATCCATAAGTTGTACCTGTGAACCCCAAACCCCAAGAACCCCAAGAACTCCAATTTATTATCTAAGAAAGAAACAAAAAAAATTAGGGTAGATGTGTCCACAGGTTAATTTCTCTCAAGCTGGCTTGACATGCATTGCATGGGAGTTCGGTCCAAAACTGGGCCCCCCTAAGGAGGCCATTTCAGCACTGGCTCAAGAAGGATTTTGGGATACAGCATTATATACCCTTTCAACAGGGGCTCATATCAACCTGTCATCATTCCAGACCACTCCCAGCCTCTGCTGATCTGGGCAGCAGTATCTGTTTCTACCCAAGCCTGAGTAGGATAAAATTAATTCAGGGTTGGGTCAGGTTTCACCAGGGTAGGAAGATTCAATGCAATCTCATTATCAGTGATGTCCTTTTGAAGAACTTTGAAGCAGAAGGCTGGCAGGGTGGTGCTCTGAGTCTCCAAGACAGATTACCAAGAGAAATCATTTTTCACACAGCGAACTATCAAAGGAATCCCAACTATAGGCTGACTTTGTATTACATTACATGCATTTAATGAGTCAAATTCTTCAGTTTTTCTCTGGGAACAAAGCATTTTTAGAAGTTACTGAAACTATGGTAGCCTGATTTAGCAAGTTACTGGTTCAAAGGTCTTTATTCTCTCCTACACTTCAATAATTCTTAGATATAGGTATTTAGGGTGGTCCATTCTAGCCTTATTTTCTATCCTGGGTTTATCTTCCATTCTTCTCTGTTATATATCTGATAAGGGCGGGGGCCCAAGCCAAGATCTTCACCCTTTGCCTCAAAGGGAATCTGACTCACAGGCCCCAGACCCTCATCTCCCTTTGAAAGCCTTAGCTTTACCTTTTAATCTTATTCAGATGCTCCCTAAAAGCCTTAGGCTCCCTCTTGTCTATAGGCCCCAGAAAGGCCTTCCTTTATCTCCTTTTGAAAGTCCTAGCCCCACCTTGATTTTGTGCAGATGCCTTTCAAACTTCTGCCTTCCTGTTCCTCCATTATCTATTCCCATTGTCTATTCAATCTCTCCCGACCTCCCCAATTAGAATTGTTGCCTACACCCTTTACCCAACCCCCTTCTCTTGCCACCCAAAGTTACTTTAGTATTTAAGATCCACCTTGGCCCTCATTCAGATGCTGAGAATCTCACGCTCTAAAGGCTGAGAACCTCTCATGCCTGCTCGTCCTTACTGGCGTCACCTGGCCTATATGTTTTACCACCAATAAACTTTTCCTCTGGCTGAAGAAGATTTGAGTTGAATTCTTTCAGGCAGGGCCCGGTACTGCGATCTTGGGGTCCCAGCACCCCAAAACCCCTAGACCTCTTCATATCCACCTTTCAAATTGCAACAGTTGCCACTCTTTTAGTCCTATGTTTTGCTTTCCCATAGCTATGTCCTATCTTATGCTGGTCCATGTTCCTGAAATGCCATTTTGTCCGCTTTCCTGTTGAAATCCTACTGATCCTTTGATCATTTAAATGCAACCTTACCCCCCATAAAGTTTGTCCTGAGTCTTCCTAGGTAGAAACAATTTCTCCCACCTCTGATCTCTTGTAGCATTTTGTTTTTACCTCATATATTTACCATAGTCTACCTTGGTTATAATTATTTGGTGTACATGTCTCCTCTACTATAGACAATAGGAGCTCTTTTAAAATTCAAGTTTATGTTCCCTTCAACACCTAACAAACCTCCTTACACAAATAGGACTTTACTATTTGCAAAGTATTTTTGCATATGTTTTCCTTTTGTTTTTAATTTAATTTAATTTTTGAATTAATATTTACTTTCTTTCCATCCTACTCTGTCCCATTTAAAAAAAACCTCTTGTAATAAATATGCATAGTCAAACAAAAAAAATTCCCACATTGGCCATGTCCCAAAATTTTCGTTTCATTCTACAACTTGAATCTGTCACCTCTTGGTTAGGAGTTGAGAAGCTTGGTCATCAGTCCTCTGGAATCATGATTTGTCATTGCATTGATCAGAGTTCTTAAGACTTTCAGAGTTTCTTACTTGGGAGTCACAAAAATCTGATGAGGTAGATTTTATAGGTGCCATTTCACAGAAGGAGAAAAGGAAGTTTAGATTTTAAGTGGCTAATTAAACAGCTATTGTTAGCAAACCAAGTATTATATTCATAACCCCAAGATGACTCATTGTAATATTATTCATAGGTAGAATTTGCCCTTAGTGATCCTAACTGAAGAGTTACTAGTATCTGTTGTACAGTTAAGGAAACTGGAACACAGAGAGTTGAGGTATCTTGCCCATGGTCTGCTAATAAATCTTAGATTAGGGATTTGAATTTAGGGCTTCTAAATCTAAATTCAATGTTCATTCCTATCTGACTGCATGACTGAATTGATCATGGAGTCACTCTTTAAGTCACTAAGAGGCCATGAAGCTTATTTTGAGAGAATCACAGGAAAGGCTGTCCTTTGTTTCTAAGGAACTCACAATCAATCAGTAAGCATTTATTAAGCACCTGCTATGTGCCAAACACTATGCTAAATTCCAGGAATACAAGTACAACAGTAACACAGTCTCTACCTAAAGGAGTTTACCTTTTGACTTGGAGGTTAGAGCAGTAAAACAGATATATTGATAGATAAATACAGGCTACCTACCAATAATACACAGTGATGAGGGGAGGGGAACACTAACCGCTAGAAATGAAATGAACACAAGAAGAAAGAGAAGAAAAGAGAAAAGTGGGGAAAGAGAGTTGTAGAAGACAAAAGAAAAGAAATACAAGAAAATGTAAGAACCATAAACTGAGAAACATATTGACAGAGCAGTAAAAGAATGATTTTTTTATAGCTGTGGGATTTTAGGTGTCAGGTTTGCACAAATGCTTTTAAGGTAATATTGGCGGCACTTTCATTTTGATTACTTTTGAAATGAAAGTGTTGTTTTTTAAAATAATAATCTTATTTTTCTGGCATATTAATTTTTGTCCCTCTAATCATTTCTTCACTATAAGAAGCACCAGGAAAAAATGAGACAATAACTTCCTATGTGTCCCAAAACAGAATACCATCGAATCCATCTTTTGCTTCCATTATTTTCTTGAATCTTTGCTGCATACAACAAAAAGAGGAGTAAGACTTACTTTTTAGGATGGAAACATCATTAGAACAGAAAAGGGTCATTGTGGAAGGGAAAAAATCTGACCTAAAAAACTCCTTACAAGATAATGTCTTTGCACTTTTATTGCATAAAACCATAAGTGTTCCAAATTCTGGTGGGTGTTAACAGCAGAAGCATGAAAATTTTAACCATTTCAGATGTACTCTGTGTATGACAGAAAGCTTTTGTGATGTGATGCAGAGTATGGATGTTGAAGGTGGAGGTGAAAATTATTTCTGTGAAACCGAGTCAATATTTTCAACCCATTATTTCATAAATATGGTATTTAGATCACAAGTCCATTATCTTTATTACTATGTTTATCATTTAATATCAAGTGACATCTTTGAGGATTGTAAATATAGTAAGATTACAGGAAGTTATCAATGATTGCATTAGGATGTTTTCCAAGGAAGTTAAGTGTGCAAAGAAATGGGTATGTGGGGGTGGAGAGAATAATACATTAGTCTGAAAGCATCAGTTTATCCATTGAAATAATAGGCAAGTTCTCTTATGTTTGGAATTAAGCCAAGGAACATGCCACAAGATTGTCTTCTATCTACTCTATAATACTTTAGGTGTACCTAGTTCTTCATCTATTTTCTCTATTAGAATGTAAGCTCCCCAAGAGCAAGGATTGGGTTTTTTGCCTTTCATTGTATCCCCCCTGCTAAGCACCGTGCCTAGCACATAGTAAACACTTAATAAATGCTTACTGACTGATTCGCTAATAGTTCAAATTGAATGTTTTATTGAGCAAAGGATACCTACAGGGAAAAAATGTAATTTCTTATCTGCTCAGGGGTCCCAGTATCTCCTAAACCTAAGATACATGCAGTGTTAGGGGTATTATTAGAGGCTTCATGAACCAAGAAATGCCTTAACATGGAACCCATGACCCCAGGGTGGAACACTCAGAGAATGATTGATGAGAGCCTTTTGTGTCATAAGCATTATGAGTCGATCACAGCAGGTGATGGAGCATTACCTTGTAGGTGAACATCAAATCTTAACCAAAGCTCATGGAAGGAATCCAGTACTAATGTGGCATAAAAGTGGAAATCCAAGGTAAAGCATATCATGCAAAGCTATGAAATGGTGGCAATCAAATAATTAACATAGACCTTGCCAGTTCACATTAATATGGTCCCTGGGATCAACACTGGGAGCCATGGATATTCTTTGTTGTTCAGTCAGTTTCAGTTGTGCTACCACGTGGGGTTTTCTTGACAAAGATACTGGAGTGGTTTGCCATTTCCTTCACCAGTTCATTTTATAGATGAGGAAACTGAGGCAAACAGGGCTAAGTGAATTGCCCAGGGTCACATCTAGTAAGTGGCCAGATTTTAATTTAGGAAGATGAGTCTCCCTTATTCCAGGCCTGGCACTCTATCCATTGTACCACTTAGCTGCCCTGTATTGTTATTTTCTGTATTGGTCCAAACATTAGAATAATTCCTCAAAAATGACAAATGTTGGAGAAGATGTGGGAAAACTGGAACACTAATGCATTGTTGGTGGAGTTGTGAACCGATCCAACCATTCTGGAGAACAATTTGGAACTATGCCCAAAGGGCTATAAAACTGCATACATACCCTTTGATCCAGCAATACCACTTCTAGTCTGTATTCCAAAGAGATCACAAAAACAGGAAAAGGACCCACATGTACAAAAATATTTATAGCAGCTCTTTTTGTGGTGGCGAAGAATTGGAAATTGAGGGGATGCCCATTAATTGGGGAAAGACTGAACAAGTTGTGGTATATTAATGTCATGCAATACTATTGTTCCATAAGAAATGATGAACAGATGGACTTCAGAAAAACCTGGAAAGACTTGCATGGACTGATGCTGAGTGAAGTGAGCTGAACCAGGAGAACATTGTACACAGTAACAGCCACATTGGGGGATGATTAACTTTGATAGACTTAGCTCTTCTCAGCAATGCAAGGATCTAAAACAACTCCAAAAGACTCATGATGGAAAATGCTATCCACATCCAGAGAAAGAATATTGGAGTCTGAGTGCAGATCAAAACATACCATTTTCTTCTTTTTAAAAATTTTTTTTGTTTTTTGTAGTTTTTCCTTTTGGTTCTGATTCTTCTTTGCAACATTACTAATGTGGAAATGCATTTAATATGATTGTACATGTATAACTTATATCAGATTGCATGCTGTTTTGGGGAGTGGGGAAAGGAAGGAGAGGGGAAAATTTAGAACTTGAAATCTTGGAAAAGTGAATATTGAAAACTAAAGATAAATAAATTTAAAAAATAATATGATTCCTTGAAAGTTAGAAATGTACATTTTACTTTGAGAACACAAACTTGAAAAGCTTAAGTATATCCTGGAACATGGTATCCTTGGTATCCTTGAAAGCAGTTACTCATTCTTAGGCTACAATGGGTCTGAAAGCATCAGGGGAGGGTGAGACATTGGTGAGAGTCCTATTAGTTGGATACTTGGTCAAAATCTATTCAGTGTCAGTCAGCTCCTGGCTTCTATTTGTGGAGGATTAGATCAGCAAAATTTAAGCTTGCCTGAGTTTATGAATGGTGGACCACCAATGATAATCTCCCAAGTTTTAAAAAAAATTTTAGATCTATGATAAATTTTGTTTTGTTTCATTTTTAACCACGTGTCCCAGTCACGGTTCTATATTTAATGTAATAGATCACTCAGTGCC